TCCCCTTTTGAAAGTATCAAGTTTTATTTTGCTCCTCAAATCATGAGGGAGAGTGTTCCAAACTGTTGGCCCAGAAAAAGAAAAAGCTTTCTCACCGTATTTCTTCACATGAGGTGTTGAAATTAGTCTAGAGCCACTGGATCTTAGTTCACGTGATGGTGTGTATGGTACAATTAGTTCTTGAATGTTTGTGGGAGACTGCTTAGTTTGGCCTTTAAAGCATAGTAGGGCTAACTTGTATTTAATTCTCGCTTTCAGAGGAAGCCAATGGAGCTCTTTAAGTAGGGGAGTAACATGATGGCGTTTAGATTGCTTTAATACTAGCCTGGCAGCATTGTTTTGAATGCGTTGGAGTTTTGCAATTTTTTTCTTCAGGTAAGCCAGCGAACAGTGAATTGCAATAATCAATGCGTGACAAAATGAAGGCAAATACTAGTTTTTTGGTGGCATCAGTGCTAAGAAATTTCCTTATATGTGAGCAATTCTTCTCATTTCTAAGTATGAAATTTTACATAGATGGTTAAGTTGGATCTCCATGGACAAGTCTTTGTTTAAGTATACTCCTAAGTTTTTTGCTTTGTTTGAAAAAGCGACAGTACCTTTGCCAATGGTGAGACATTCTACATCAAGAGCATTTATTTTTGAGCTGGTTGAGCATGGCATGATTTCTGTTTTGTTTTCATTTAATTTCAATTTATTTTCACTCATCCATGCTTTTACAGATTCAAAACATTCTGAGGTGTTTTTTAACAGAGATTGAATTTTGTTGGGTTTTGCAGACTTATAAAGTTGTGTGTCATCTGCGTACATATGGTAGGGCATGGAATGGTGTCTGATGGTATGACCAAGGGGTAAGGTTTTTCTTAGTGTACAGCACAGAAATTGCCCTTGAAATATGTAGGTATAGCTCTTTCCTCATGTGTTTTGTTGAAAAACACTCATAAACTGAACCTCGTAACGTCATAATTTAAACAACACATTGCATCCTTCCCCGAGGTGTTTGGTATCGCAGTTTAGCTCATTTTCCGCTTTTTGCGTTTCCACAATCGATACCACACATGAAAGCGTGGGACGTGGGAACAAAATATCAAGAAATTGTGAATTTTTATATAGATACATCATGTACATTAATTGAACAAAAATTTTTATTAAAAAGTCAAATTTTCCTATTATTCGAAAGTGCACAACATCATAATAGACCTGTGTACAAAGTATCATCCAATTTGGTTCACAAATAATTGGGTAATACAAATTTCTGCTGAAAAAATTTGCAAAATGAGAAAATCACAAAAAACGACCAAATATAACCTTGTTATGTCCCATACACAACACCTTCCCCTTTTAGTATAATGATTAATGAATAACATATTACCTAAACATCATAATTATTAAATTACTAGAACACACACAGCCTAACGGCACCAAAGAGGTGTCAACCATCCGACTTCACGCCAGATGTATTACACAACACAGCACAATGACGATGAGAAATCTGTGCGTGACTAGTGTTAAAATTACAAAACATAACTAGATTTAGATCTACTAAAAGTAAACCCTACGTCACCAAAGAGGTGACAACCATCTGACTTCACGCCGGAGGTGTTAAACGACACAACGCAAAACACGTTGAAGGCCCAGAATCCTCTTCACTGGAACCGTGCTGGCTTCATCACTGGTCGGCCAGAACGTGTGTAGTCTTGTTTCACCAGGGTCTTGAGGTCGTGGCAGGGACAGGTCTTGCTTGATGACAGGCGTCTCTGCTTTGACAGCGGATGGCGGCTCTTGCAGAGGCATCGGTGGCGATGCAAGCTGCTTCAGTTGTGACCCTGGCGTTGCCGTGTTGTGGCGTAAGTGGCGTCTGTTACGCCTCAGCTCTTCGTCAGCTGTCTGGATGATGTACGACTGTGGGGCGTACTGTTGAACCACCTCGCCTGGGCGCTTCCAGCCCTTCTGCCCGTCTTCCTTGATGAGGACTGGGTCTCCAGGGCTAAGCTCCGGTAGGCAGTGGGCTGTTTTGTCGTAGTACTGCCTGGTCCGCTGCTTGTAGTCTTCGTCACGCCGGCGCACTATCTC